TGGGTCCTCCACCTCTGCGGAGGTTAGGGGGTGCAGTGAGTCTAAAGCTGACCAGGTGGTGGTCGGTCCATGTCACTCTTGCAACATCCCAAAGGATGTGATTGTCTGGCTTTACTCAGGCTTCCTAAGCTCCTACTTTTGCACAGATACTATGGTTAATATGGTGCTATCAATGCATGCAGCACTAAAAATAAAACTCTCAAAAGAAAGAAAGAAAAGAAAGAAAAAAAGAAAATAATATAGGGGCAAAGATGAGTTTACTAATCTCAAATGAAATTATAGCATTCTAGATATGACAGATTATACCATGCCACCGATACCATTCCAGATATGCCAATGACTCTCTGACTCGCTCTCTCTGTATAGCCACCTTGAATGGAGTTGTAGATTAACAGATAATGAAGGGAAAGCTCTAAAGGCTTTCACGTTCTTTTTAAAAAGGGCTCAGGTATACTTCCACAGTAACAATTCCATCGGAAGGTTTATGTTAAAATGACTTGTGAGCTACTATACACACGTCTGACTTTGGGAGAAAGCCTGCAAACCCTGGAATGGTTTCCAGAGTGTTGCTATTGGCATTCCTCCATTTAGACAAACATTTCTCTCTCCAATAGCAAATTCAGATGGTGAGTGCCAACAAGACTTTAGCCAAAAAAGGGGCCACTGTAAAGCGAGAGGGAATTATCAACATGCTGGGGGAAATCCCAACGCTTCCAAAAGTACCAAAAGATCTTCAGCAAAAATTCTAAAGCAGCAACAAAATCACAGTACAGCCCAAGCAGAACTGGCCGTACTCAGCAGCCAAGGGTATGCCATGTACATCACACACCTGAGTGCTTGAAAATGATGGTTCACTTATAATTGGTATAAATGTGGTGATTTTATAGGGAAATCATAAGGTGACTTTTAAAACACACATGATATATGTTCAGTATACATATGCACAGATATTGCAAAAGATTCACAATAATGTGCATATTACTCTAAAATTTAGGTAATTATTGTGCTTTTAAGGAAAAGTTCATAATCTGTCACCAATGCTGCTGCAGCTAGTTTACTTCTTCAGTAAAAACAGTTTGATTAGCTCTAGGTATAGTCTATTTCATAGCAATAGATGGATTACTAGTCACATTTTCAATTTTTCACCTATATGTCTGATGATCGCTACCTACACAGAGAGAAACGACTAATATTGCTGACTCATATTCAGTCTTCACCTTCCGAAGCACCATTCAGGGGGATTATGGGGGGAAATGACCTCTGCTACCTGTGTACTTGCCTGTCTTTCAGCTAGAGTCTCTCCCTGCCCTGTCCCCTAATAAAGTTTTCTAACATTAGAAAAGAGGCAACATGGCTTTAAATAGCTATAGTATATGGGAGGTGAAAATGCATGAATTTTCTTTTCTTTTTTTCTTTTTTGCAAAATGCTTTCTGTATGCTCTGTTGCACAACAACTGATTTAACCGTTCCAGAAATGACTTTTCTCTAGAGAAGTGGTTCTCAACCTGGAGTCCCCAGATGTTTTTGGCTGACTACTCCCAGAAATCCTAGCCAGTTTACTAGCTGTTAGGATTTCTGGGAGTTGGAGACCAAAAACATCTGGGGACCCCAGGTTGAGAACCACTGCTCTAGAGGTCTAAGACAGCAGCATGTATACTGTATATCTAATGTTGCTTTTACAAAATAACAAAACTGATGTTTTGACATTGTTGTTGTTCATTCGTTCAGTCGTTTCCAACTCTTCGT